TTCTGCACTACTTCGTCCCAAATGCACTTTTTCTTCTTTTTCACTAGTCCCTTCACCTGTTTCCTCTTGGCCCTGTACTTTTCCCAACTCTCTTCAGACCCCTCACCCAGGTATTGCTTGAAGACTTCTCTACGTTCCCCTATTTCTTCTTTCAGCTCGTCATCCCACCACTTAACCGATACCCCACATCGTACCACCTTCTTTCCCACTACTCTCTCTGCCGTTGTGTTCACTATGGACTCCCATCCTTCAATCACCCTGTCCCCTGCTGCTTGTGCGTCTACCTTTCCGTCTTCGACGCTTCTCAGCAGTTTCCTGAAGGGTTCTACACTACCAGCCAATCCCTTCTGGAATTCGTCGCGTGTCCCCTCGTCTCCCAACCGCTCTACTTTCCACCGGAACACTTTCCTCTTTTTCTTACTCTCCGTCTTTCTAGATCGGCCGATGTTTGCCCATATGAGGAAATGGTCGGTCGAACCTATATCTATCGCACTTACGTGCAGCTCCGGGACCTGTGTGCTCCCCCTATCTACCAGGATGTAGTCGAGGATCGAGTATTCATTGCAAACTGCCCTCTGCCTGGTGAACTCCGGCTTATCGCTTTCCCTCCTACCGTTCAACACCATCAGCTCGTTGCTTCCCAAGAATTCAAGCATCCTCACTCCGTTGTCATTCACTTTGTCTTCTCCGTGCTGCCCGATCGCCTGTCCTCTACTGCAAGCTTTCCCTACTCTGGAGTTGAAATCGCCCACCATGACAACTTCTCCCTTCCTACTGAACCTCTGGACATCTTCCCCAACTTGTCCGAAGTTCTCCTGCGCCTTGCTTGCGACTTTCTTCGACGACGGTGGGACGTTATACGTTCCCTAGAAACAAATCTTTCTCACCCCGCTCCCCAGGTATCTTAAGCCATAGGCTTTCCTCGAACTCCGTTTTCACCACTACTTCCACCACGTCAAACAAGTGTTCCTTGACCAGGAATCCGACTCCCCCCTCCCCCCTTTTCTTCGGGTCTAAGCCCTTTCTTGCCTTCCCTACCCACCGGTACTTCCCTAGTTTGCTTACCACGTCCCCATCCTTCAGTTCTCACGTCTCTTGGATCCCCACTACATCCAGATCGCTTTGTTCTACTTGGTCCACTATTTCCAACCGCTTGCGCTCACTCCTTGCGAACCCGCACACGTTCCACGACCCCACTCTCAGCTTGTGCTTTTCCCTATTGGAGGTTTTGCGCACTCTATCCTTCGCCTTCCGCTTCTTCTCGGCGTTCTTCTGATTTGCCTGCTCGCCTCCCCCGCCCGGTCCCTTCTTCGCCTCTATCGCCCTCGCCTCCTGTCGCCTTACCTTCTCTGTTTTTATCATGTTCGCGACGCAAACCCTCCATCCAAACTTCCTTACGTAGTTCGACAGCTTCTCGATGTCAACCCCCAAGCACTCTTGGCTGTCTCCCTTGGTCAATTTCACCCGGAAATGTTCATGCTCTCTGCCTACTTCTCCCCTTGCTAGGCAGTGCAGTCCCTCCGTGTCACAACAGTTCTTGAACTCTATCCTCGTCATGTCCCTTGGAACTCCAAACAGCAGCAGTTCCAACCTGTCTCCCTGCCACAGTTTCTGCTTCCATCCTCCCGGCTTCACGATAAGGGGGGGGGGGGTTATACATGTGTAGACACAAGGCACATAACATCACACGCGAAAGTATTGCATGACGGACATGTCCAGAAATCCGAAACATAGCATCATGTAATAGGAGAGTTAGCTTTTTTGTCGAGCATATGTTTTTGCTGTACAAAAAACCTCGACACTTCGTACACACAGACCTCGACACTCACTGATATTTAGGGCTGGCCCACTGGTAAGACACAAACCACACGACGCCCAGGCCCAGGTTGTTGGGAAACATGGAGAATGGCGGAGCCGATTGGGCTCAGCCGCTGGTGGTTTACTGCATTCTTAAACCGGGTGTGTGCCTAGCACTTTCGTATGTGTTCAACCATCTCTTCGATGATTCAATCTGTGCCAGTCAGGTTCACCCGCACCTTATACCGGGCACCCGCACATTTGGAAGGCACCCAACTGTAGGTGTTTCCGGCCGCCGCTGTGTATTGCGAGTATCATGATACCATGCAGGTGTGGGTTGCACACTGTCAGCGGAGGTCCTGTTTCTCTTTGCAGGTCCGCCATCTCTGTCGCTCATCGCTTCTCCGTGTTGTAGCACCAACTGCGCCACACCCCGAACAGAGTTGTGGTTGTGCCCGAGCCGGGCCGCACAGAAATGCGCAACACCTGGTGTTGCGCGCTTTGGGCCAATGGGCTGTTGGATAGAGCATGCTGTGCCTCCTTGCCAAACGGGGTAACTAATACTGCTGTGGGGTGCCAGTTTTCAAAACAAGCAGACTTCACGTGCCAAGAAGAGTGGCAGACGTGTTTTATCTATGAAAGTACAGTTTCATCTCTGTCACCTCGTTATCCATACCCCAAATCAACCTGCGCATCATTAAAACTCCCTCAATCTGAAAAACGAGCCGCCATGCTCAGGATATCAGCGGTGGGGAACACCACTTTTTCCTGGCCTGCTTATGCGATTCCGATACCTACCAGTTACGAGACTCAAGCAAACCAACAGGGCGGCTGAAAGCACGCTCCAAGCATTGCCCACGGAAAAAGTGCTGTGCGGAATGCCTTGGCCAAAGAAGTCCAGACCTAGATATGCATTCATTTTTTTTGGCGATTGCTCTATCTGTGCTCTGTGGACGGAGCTCTTTTGGCATTCCAACGCTTGTCACGTTAAATGTTACAGGGGCTTGTTGGTCACCTTCCTTCTCCCCATCTAGCTAAGCAGCCCACAGTGCATTTATTCCCAAGAGCATTTTGAATATTCACACGCGGCGCAAGAAACTTGCCCATCGCCGCACGTCCTGTTGCGGAGATTACGGAGATTACGGAGATTCGTAGGCCAAAGAGGATGAGGGGGGACCTGTGTCGAGTCTAGAAGCTTGTGCGACCAGCAGCCGTGTTGACGTGGGGCTGGGTGAGCTAAGCTAGATACATGGATCAATTCCGTCTCGCCATATCGGAAGGGGTGATGTACGGAGGACATTTTTGTCGCTAATACACCTGGGCGCCCAGCTCCATTGCGTCGTTTTGGCCAAGGGACCTATGCATCTTGTTTTAGTGTTGCTGCGCTCTCTATGTGTGTGTATATACTGTCTCTCTCTGTCTCGTGAAAAGAAGCATACTTGATTGTAAAACCCAAAAGCCTCTCCCGGCCACAGCAAGAAACAAACAAGAGCAAGGCTCTTTGATTATCCTAACCCTGGGGTGTTGACACACGAGGCGAATGTATGTGTGGTTAGGAGTAGCTTACTTGATGTCGAACGATCACTTCATGAACTTCTCCCGATGTGGTGCAGACCACCATGCTTTGCATTGTTGTTTCCGACTGCACCTTTGTGTTTGTTTGCCTGCGCTGCTGCTGGGTCGATCAAATCTGGTCTATTATTTACCGTAGTTCGAATGTTCTCGCTCGGCTTGTCCCACAGCCTCATCACACGTCTTCCATCTCGTTCTTCAGGCTTCGAAATTGTGGTCAAGAAACACGAAAGGGAAAAATAATACCGACAGAGTCGCGAGCGCATTTCTTTTTCTAGCACGCATGTTTCGGGAGCAAGTCTGATGGGCATGAAACATGCATGACGCATGTGTTTCGAAACGCGAATACGATGATGCCAACGAACAACATTTATCCGATTGGTTCGTATTGAGCAAGGCTGGTGACATGAAAGATAAACGCGTATGTATCATTTCAACTTTTTGGTGCTCGGGTCGTTTTTTCTCTGCTGGGATAGCGTTTTTTCTCGCACTTTCTCCTGCATGGCACGCAGAGGACCCGTCGGTACATTACACGTTACGTGTGGGCCTCGCGAGACACTGGTGGTGAGCGTTAGGGCCGCGTAAAGTCGCTGGGACTGGCTCTTTTTTCAGGGGTTGGGAATCCGAACCATAAAAGCCTCCTCGAGCGGCACGAAAACTGCAAGCAGAACTTTTTTTTACCCCGCGCCACGCGCCACGCGCCCACACACCTGCTGCTGTGAATTGTTGTGCACACAGCCACCACACGGCAACTGGCGCATGTGTACCCATAGCGGGGATCAAGACTCTTAATGCTCATGAGAACACACCACGCGACACAGCAGTCCCCTCGCACAACTCTGGCAGCGGTAAATTTGTACATTTCAATTCCGAAAAATCGAAAAAGTCAAATTATAGAAGTTTGGTCGGTAGCAGTCTACATCTTCTACTGTGACTGTCCTTGGGCACGTTGAGCGTCTCTTTGACCCGTTGTTGTTGGTGTATGCGTGAAAAAGTCCCACTGACCATGGGAAACACGATCACACAAGAAGAGAAAGTGATCAAACGCACCGGATTACAGCAGTAGGACCTGCAGCAAACCACTCACTCACGCACAAGGGAAAGTCACGCCGGGAGAAAACAAAGTACACCGCACATACAAGCACATATGATGCAAATTCCACGCAAATTATTAGTATGCAGGTTGCACGCAAGCCGGCACTACCGAACGTTATGACGACCAACCACGCGACCGCGATGGCATTGATTGGCCATGTATGTCCTCTTGCGTCGCCCCCGGGAGGCAATCACCTACCTCCCGCAGGGGAACTTTGTATTCTAATACGCGAGTACGATGATGCCGACGAATATCGCATATTCATCAGATTGGTTCGTTCGCCGAGCTCGACAAGCTCACGTCGGACAACAAGGACAAGCTGGTGGTCGTTGACTACTCTACCACCTGGTGCGGTCCCTGCAAGATGATCCTGCCCAAGTTCGAGAAGCTCGCAGAGCAGTACTCGGATGCGGTCTTCGTAAAGGTAAGGGGTGACAGCATCCAGCCCCACTCAGCCTTCGCCTGTTCGTTCAAACCGCGAGGCATCGCTCCTCCAGGTTTTTTGTTTTGGGCATGTTTTTGTGTGTTTCAGGTATCTTTTTCTACGGAACTGAAGAATGTTCAATATTCGATCATGTTGCTTTTCGGGAAGCTACGCGAGATCACTGAACGTCCAGTCGAACTGGCGGTCGATGAACCACTTCGCCATCATGGGTGCGCCTTTTGTGACGGGGGAGGGGACCGCGGCACACTTCGTAATTTCGGTTCGCATGGGTGTTCTGCCGTTGTTTCTCGCGACACACACTTTTGTTGACATCCTGACTCTGGACAGCTTTCATTGCCTTAGCACGCGTTTGTTTTTTTCCTCACGCCATGGGCGAGATGAGTATCAGGACATGTACGCCGTTAACTTTGAAGCCGAGCGCGGTGGCGGACATCCCGTACCGATCAACCGCGAATCTGCGAACGCGTCCGGCAGTCTGTTCAGACGAAGGGGGTGGCGCTCTCCCCCCTGTCGTTGGATCGAAATGTCTGCGTATCACGTTTCACAAGAACGGCGCGCGCGCCGCAAACGGGGATCCATGCTTCCGTGCGACCCTGGATCGAGCCAATGGCATAATCAGTGCAGGATAAAGCTGCGAGCGACTGTCGTAAATGATGAACCTCACCTTGCAAAACATGTCATTGCACACGTCACCACACAGCCTTGCTATCGTTGACGGGGCGATTCACGCGTTCGTTGTTGCGTCAAGCGGAATTGCTGGCATGTGGTATACGACTATCCGGTGAATGTCCTTGGTTGTGCCACACGGAGCAGGTGATTGGGGACAGCACGAACGACGCGTCGCAGCTAATGAAGAGGGAGGGAGTGCGGTCGGTACCTTCATTCCACTTCTGGAAAGACGGGAAGAAGGTACGGTACAGCACGGTACGGTACGGTACGGTACGGTACAGGCACCCTTTGCCCTAAAGGAGCACGGTGGGGTCTAGAGTGCTCGAATCGAGTCGACCCCTGTTCTACTAGAGTGGCACTCTTTTGACTAAAGTAGAAGTCCTTCTGGTCTATAGTGGCAAGACTTGGAGACTATAGCGGCAAATTTCAGCCGAATCAGAGTGCAGCACAGTACAGTATATACAGTACAGTACAGTACATGCGCTTGTTGAGTGTTTCTTCCTGCCTTCACGCTGGTGCTGCGCCCTCGTTGATTTTCAACATTGCCTTGATATCGGGTCGAGGTCGTTGCATGGACAAGAGTTTTTTTTTTTACTTTATGAAGGGGATTGAAGGATGTGTGCGATAATAGTACAAGAGCGGAGTTGCGTCGTTGATCGCTAGATTGGCTGTTGCTGTATTTGCGTCGCACGTCATTTATAGTTTGCGCTGTTGGGGCATTGTGGACTTAGCTCGACCGTAGCTACGGGAAGGTAAGGAGGCTCGGTAGTGTAGTGTAGGGCTATGGTTCGTTAGGGTATGTATGCATGTATCGTTTGTTTCGATGGCAAACTGGATCTGTTTGTTGGGCTCTTGTTTGTCGCTCTATCATTTGGTAACGCCGGGACTGCTGTCGTGACCGCCCAACCTCAACCTTGCCATGAGCCCCTCCTCTGAGTCCTCATGGCTCATGGGTACACGGGTTAACCTCGAATCCTGGCAAGTCTGTGGTTTGTCATAACGGCTGATGAACTTAGTATCGAGATGACTCGACTCCTGACTATTCATTCATTAGTGTTCCATCCCTGATTCATCAACAAAATAATACGTGGAATAAAAACCTTGCTCTCACATGGATTGATGGAATTCGTACCTAACTGACTTTTTGGTCGTGATCCATCCCCTCCCTGTTCCTTCACCAACAAAAAAATGCGTGGAATATACCCTTGCTACCGTTAAGGACTGATGAAATTCGTGCCGAAGTGACTCGAAACGACTCCTGACTACTACTTCCTCGATCGTGTCCATCCGCTCCCTATTCCGCGTTCACCAACCACAAAATACGTGGAATAAATCCCCAAATCCCAACAGGTGGAAAAGGTGAACGGGGCAAACGAGGAGGCGCTCGAGCAGACCCTCCGCGACTTCCACTAATTTTTATTTTTGGAGGGTAGGGTTTCTCCGCTCAAGTAAAGAAGTAAGGACAGGCAGGGCCTGCAGGGCACGGGGAATAGTCGTGGGGGGGCTAGGTGGTGGGCGCAAATTTCACCAGGGGGGGGAAGGGGAAGGGGGAGGAAGCCGCTTTGATTTTTTTTTTGCTTAAATTTGTCGTTGCTGCTGTAGTCTAGTTCTTGCAAGGGGCGTTGCTTTGTTCCCTCGGAGTAGGAGATGCCGAAGGAGTTAGTCGGTGGTGGCGTTTGTTGTCCGTTTTGCGAAGCTGGTTTGCTTGTTTGTGGGCGGCTCTCGCTGCGCGGCGGACTCTCTCGCGCTCTTCTCACGCGTGTTGGATGTTCTTGTTGCAGTCCGTCGGGTGTGCTGATGATAAAAATGGGGGGAGCCCTTTTTATACATATTATCGTTCGATCTCTTTTGGTCTCAAGTCCGGCGAGTGCTGCTGCTGTAGTGCGTGTCTCCCTTAGTTTCCGCAGCGTTAGGGCTGGTTGCCGCGTACAGGCAAAACGGCCAACAAGCACTCTCTCGTTGTACCATGCGCCGCTACATACATACATGCCCGTTCGGCCGGGTCCCAACAGCAGAAACTAATGCCTTTGGAGAGCAGGTACTCCGGTTGGCGTTGGGTAGGGACATATTAACACAGAGAAATAGGTAGGGCTGCAGTCCCTCATTCCGCGGCGCCCCCTCTGCGCTACTTACTATCACAGTGGCGGTATGGTTCGCCGAATATCGGAACACTTTCTTGTGGGTCCAAGTCAGTAAGCCTCGACCGCTTCGAGAGAGGGTAGGGTGTTGGTGTTTAGGATTGATTCTGGTGGGCGCTTTTTTCTTGTTCCTGGTTGGTTGCGAGCGTATTGTGATCGTACAAGGGTGGCTCGAAAACAGAAACTCAGTTGGCACACTTCGCCGATAAGAGGGACAGGGAGGGACAGGGAGACAATAGACAGAGAAACGAGAGAGAGAAAAGAGTACTGAAGCACCCGCCGTACAGGCGCTGGTAGAGAGACCCTCTGCGTTCTCATTCAAAGGTTGCAGCAGCTTTTGTTTGATGGGGAGGCAGGGGCGGGCGGGGGGGGGGGGGGGGTCGTGACGTAAGGTGGGTAGAGTTGGTGTTTCCCGTGCATACCCGTACGCGATGAGCACCGCATGTAGAAAAGACAACGAAGAACCGCATTCCGTAAAAACCCACCGATTGGATGTTTTCGAGTTAGTTTACATGCCCCCCCTTGGTGGTATCGAGCTTTGACGTCAAAGTTGCGTCGGCGTAGAAATAGAGGGAGAGGGTGTGGGGGGTGCTGCTGCACGTGCGGCACAATGTCTACCGTTGGCCAAAGCACTTGAAGGAAGTGTACAGGCGGGTTATGAAATTTCTGATGGTGTGGTGAAAGTGACGATTGCGACAAGGAGGAGCTGCTCCACGTGCATTGTGTACATGTCTACGGTTGGCCAAGCCCTTCGAGGAGGTGGAACTGGCGGGTAGAGAAAAATGCTGACCATGTGGTCAACGTGGAGTCAGTGTGACGACTGCAGCCTTGGAAGCAGAGCTAAGACGGTGTGACAACTGCCATATCTCTTGTGCCTTAGCTCTCGGCCGCTACGCTGTCTGTAGCGCCATCCATGGGGTCGATTTTGACCGTTGTTTTCTGCCGCGCATACAGCTCTCACTTTGAGCTCTCACTTTGAGCGCTTTTTGTGTTAACCTATGAACGGACGGATGCCTGGACGAGGTGGAAGTACGTTACGTGTGCCCACCCTGCCGCACATGCCCGCGCCCCGAAACGTCTAAATGTGGCTGGCGCCCAAGTTGGCTTGCCTGTGAACCCCCGGTGATACCACTCATCAAGTCAAGGACGAATGTTTCCTTCCTTGTCCGGCAACCATGCGCCCTACAATACCACCCGGGCTACAGAAGATGCCACACCCCCAACAGTTGTACGCACATTGTACGATGATCATGAGTGGTCCACAGAAGGTATCGCGAAGATTCCTTCACGCGATGTGTATCCCGCAAACAGGAACAGCAGGGAGGGGGAGGAAGGGGTGGAGTACTATTTGTAACAAGTACTATCCCGTATGGCCGTCGCCCCATCCGTAGAAGAAACAAAATGACATCGGACAAAAAGGATGAGCTGATCATTACATGTAGGAGGTATTATCTTCGACCAGAGGAGTGATAAACTTGTTCCAAACAAAGGGCGGCTGTGTGTGTAGGTAGTGGGGTCCATGGAGGAGGTGGGAGACGGTATCCACATCCATCTTTGATTGGCGCCAGAGATTGGCGTCGGACTGCTGCTCGCGCCATGCCAGCACATAGATAATAACCAGCAAACGTCCGTTTATGATCGGAATAAGTCTACATCCCCCCTCTACCAATAAACGCGCCCCGAACACATACCCCGTCGTCTCCCGAACGCGAATGCAAACCTAGCGGGTCTGCGTCGTTCGATGGGGTGCGAAGATGCCAAAAAAACATGCTACTGCACGTGCAGATCGGCCAAACACGGCTGGTTTCCCCGCACGACGCACACTTTTAGGCAGGTGGTTGCGCCTCTTCTATTTGGAGATTCCAACCTCCGTCCCTGAGCCAAAACCACCGACGAAAAGGTCAGCCAAGAAATCGATTCAAGATCCGGCCGGCATCGCACGTCGCATCGACGTATCCCTCGCCGGCACCGGCGGGGGGCACGTGTGTGCGCGCAAGTCCAACCCGCGGTTCAGTCACCAACCCTCCTAGACACGATTAGTAAAAGAGCGCATCTGAGACCGCAGGCAAAAAAATGAAAACAAAAGTGTTGATTAACCCCCTTACCGACTTCGAACCGAGAACGGCCTTCACTCGGAGCTCCCCCGTCTACCCCAAGGGCGAAAGCAAGGCCTTGGCCTTTGCCCAACACAACGTCCCAACCTCTCCTGACAAAAAGCTTAGGTTGCGTGTGCACTTGAGTTTCCCTACGCTCACCCAGCAAACTCGAGCCACAGCCGACCACAACGCTTCCCTCGGTCAGACTACCGCAGGCAGGGCGGATTTTCCACTTGATCCTAACCGCTCATTGCACGAGTTAGGCATAGCTTTTCACCGTGCCCTGCATGTTCAATACTACGGAAGCCTTCGCCGCCATCCACGGCCCGTATCAATAGGGTATTGGTTGGGGTGCAAGATCCTATGATACCACGCCGGTTTACATGTAGTCTCCGCCGCCCATGGCGTCGTAGTTGGCCTGCTGCTGTGCCTCGGACACCTTCACGGGGATCTCGGCGATGAGGCACTCGGTGGTGAGCACCAACGAGGCCACACTTGCGCTGTTCTCCACCGCGTTGATCGTCACCTGCATCATCGGTGGCACCGTAGGGAGCGGGGGGGGGGGGAGGCGTACTTTCATGTTTTTCATGCCATACAATGTAGCGGTTAGATCTTTGCCTCGAGAGGACGGAGCGTGAGGAGCGTGGATCTCCATCTTCATGTATGCATTTCTTGCCCGCCCTTGTGGCTTTGACATTCCGCGGCCCAACTGGCCGCATGCCATCGAACGACACGAGTGCACCTATGAAAACATCATGGCTGCACATGACCAAGCCGTAACGCCTTCCCTCATCATCACCGCAGGCCGAAAACCACCGCCCAGACACCGTCGCTCTTTACTTAGACATGTTTCCTGTAGAATCGAAAATCGATCACATCCGAACGAAATACATTCCTTCCCCCAACCGACGGGCTACAACCCTAACCCTATAACCCCATCGGTGACGGAAATGGGCTATGTAAACACCAACACAAGTCTTGTTACGTCGCGTAAGGGTCCAATAATAGATACCTTTGCTGGGTCGAGGACACCCGCCTCCAGCAGGTCGCAGTACTCAGAGTTTGCCGCGTTGTAGCCGAAGCCCCACTCCTTGTTGTCGCACTTGGCGACAACGATCCCGCCCTCCACGCCTGCCCGACAACAGACAGTCCCCGGAATAAAAGGCGGAAAGCATGAGAGAAAGTCCACCGAAAGTGCTACAAGTTTTATTTACTCGGCCGAGAATGCACGACCTCTGTCGGTCTGCCATCAACGACGAAATCTGGTGTGTGACTTGTGGCGGCTCGTAGCATAGCATAGCTACGACATCCTACAATGGTACATGATCAAGGGCATGCCCAGGGAACTAACCAATACTGATATTGATATCATATTATTGCTTGCGATGCCATGGCATGGCTCCCCGATTGGGAGCGATCGCAGGTGCTGTGCCTACCTGCGTTCTTGGCGATCTGCATCATAGGGGCGCTGAGGGAGCGCATGAGGATGCCAACGCCGGCCTTGCGGTCTTCGCCCTCCACACGGGCCCGGAACTCTTCGTCTGGTGAGACGACACCATGATAACATGGGTCGCCAGCCAAGCAAGACGAACGGGTGAAGAGGACACACGCAACCACATGCAGGACACGCGGCAACAGCAGAGCAAGAATAACAGAAAAAAATAAAGCACGGCAAACGTTGGAAGGTACAGCAGTCGTCCCCGCTTTAAGGACGATCTCACAAGCAAGGTGACTCGCAGATATACAACACAGGGGGGGTATTGTTTTCATCACACGGGAACCCAAAAATGGTGTTTATGCTGCAGCACACCTATAGAACTGCATCTCGGCAGTTTTCAACGTGGGGACGACGCCAAAACAAAAGATGACAGAGCCAACAACACAACAATTGCCCACTCTTGTGACAGAATACCTCGTCCTGCAGCACTAACCCACTGTGTGATGTGGGGGGTGGAGTGTCACAATGTCAAGATTCAATAGCGAACGACGTGGATTGTAAGTACGTGCCGCATCCAACCACCACCACGTTGCGATCAACAGGAGCATGATGATTCGTGCTAGTCTCCCTGCCGCAATTGCGCGTCTTTTGACGCATGTTACGCCTAGCTTAACCCCGGGGACGGTGAGGTGTCACACAGTTATCACCCCCGGAATCAACATACTTGTCCGCGCTCAAGACACTATCAAAGCAAAAAAAACAATGTGCGTCTTCGAAGCGGGGACGACTTATAGTGCAATATTAATATTTGTTCAGGTGGAAAACTTGCAACGTTGAAACGTACCGCAATACTTACAACCCTCCTTCAGTAGGCAAACTCGAAACCCCTCTGACGTCTGGACGAGGGCTTGCATCACACCTGCTGCCAGAAAAGACGCTAACACCAACGGCAACGCTAACTCACCCATCCTCTGGAGGTACTGCAGGCAGGCACCGCCACCGGGAACGATCCCCAGCTCAAGGGCTGACCTTACAGAGTTCAAGGCGTCCTCGTAACGCAGCTTCTTGTCCTTCAGCTCGGTCTCGGTTGCCGCACCAACCTGGCGTGTGTGTGGGGGGGGGCATCAGACCGTCAGTTACGTTATCTCGGACAGTGTATACGGCATGCATTCGTTTCAGGAAAATTGGGGCATGTACAGTAACCGAAGTTCACATGCCATGCAATCGAACCTAACATGCCCTAGAAACCAAAGTCTTGCCATTCGCAAACACATGTCCTCGCTAATGCGAAGATAGCAACAACCATAAACAAGAACACCAAAAACAACCCCCCTACATGTAATTCCAGCGGGGTTTCAAGTCACCTTGATGCGTGCTATACCCCCACCGAGGGCAGCGACACGCTCATCCGCCTTCTCTTTGTCGAACTGTGGGGAAAGCGTTTCAAGAATAAACGGAGAGGTTGCAGGAGAACATGGGTTACCGTACCATATCAAGGAGCAGGCGGTTCGAGTGACAACAAGCAACATCCCAGCGGAAATCAGGAAAGACGACAATTCTGTTGTTAACACTATCGTATCGTAAACGCACGGGCGAACGCACGAGTGGGCGGCAGATCTCTTCCAAGATTGCCAGCTAGCTACACGACCAAGATGGTGAGAAACCCGACCGACCGACCGACACTTGGCAGGAAGGAAACCTGGCGACGAGATAGATACATGGTCCAAAAACCACCCTTTTCGGCACTGTCATTGTCATTGTCAGCCCCTTTCGGTCGTGGAGCAATCGGGCTTCAACAATCGATCGATCGCACATCTTCGTGCATTCGTCAGCACGTTTGCGGTACCTTCTGATGCGGTGCATCAGGTTACTCAACAGCAATCCATTGTCAAGTAAAACAACGTACCATGTGCACCAGAGAGAGCAAGCAAAGGCGCACCCAACTCTCACCAAGAGAACACAATAACGCAAAAACTCACAGCGCTGTCACTTGTCTCGGCATCCTTGCGGATGGTCTTGATGCGGGCCTTTACCGCCTCGTCGTTTCTCCCGTCCGACACGATCGTCGTCTGCTCCTTCATCACAACAATGCGGTCTGCCGTGCCGAGCATCTCGATCTTAACCTGGACAACACCAACATGGACGAGGCACCACACGTAGGGGGGGGGGGGGGATGCTCATGTAAATGCATGCTTCGTAAAGCGGGGGGGGGGGGATCCATGTAAACGCATGCTTTGTGGTCGTTTGAACAGTGGCCTTGCAGCTGGGAAGGAGCGACATGCCGGGTTTTCGCCGGCCCAGGCTACGTAAAGGGAGGGGGGGTAGGCTGGACTAGGCTAACCCTGGTAGTGCTGTGGCCTCCCAGGCTTTAACCTAACTACAACTACAACTACACAGGGAAGGTCAACAAACGGATGTGACGCCAGGGTTCGACAGGTGCAGCGTCGCCGATAGCGAAAAAGTCACACATTTCCAGATAAGGCCTCAAGTCTGCCAGCAGCAGCAGCAGCGGCGGCAGTTGTGATCGTGGTCAAGGTGCGGTACCGACGCAACCAAGGCAGGTCGATCGCAGTACAGCCGGGACCCATGTATGGCCGGAAAAGTATGGTCTTGTGTTGATTGTGTCGCCAATTCTACTGACCATGACTATACATAGCGGCCAAGAGGTTGTCACTGGTGCTATTTAGGACGCCACACTGCTCGGGAAAGCCGCATATCTGGGACCTCAGCTCAACATTCGGCGTAAAATATCTAGGTCGGCTTTCTCAAACTGAGTGAGGCGCAAAATAAACGTAGGGGGGGGTGGTGTTTGCCGGGGCTACGTGGGAGACAACCCCTCTTGTCTCTTGTGGACAACTCCGGCTGTACCATACCACGAAAGACCAAGACAAGACCGGCGCAGACGGAAATGTGCTGAGAAAAGCATTAGCACCACCAACCTTAGGTAAAAGGACAGTAACACGACCAACCTGAGCTGACAATAACACAATTAAACAAGCTAAGCAAATATGTTACCTACTACATACCTGGTCCAGAGTAAGGCCGACCTCCTCCGCCACGTAGGTGGAGCCGGTGGCGATCGCGATGTCCTGCAGGTAGTTCTTGCGCCTCTCCCCGAAAGACGGTGCCTTCACGGCCACGACGTCCAGCACTCCTCGCATCTTGTTCACCACGAGGGCCGAGAGCGCCTCACCGACAACGTCCTCGGCCATGATCAGGAGGGGCTCCTTGGCCTGGACCATGGCCTCCAGGAGGGGGATCAGGTCGTTCACCTGGTCGATCTTCTTGTCTGTTACCAGGATCTGAAACGGCAGCAGCAGCAGCAGCAGCAGCAGCAAAAAAAGAGAAAAAAGTGACGGCTTGCGACGGATTGATTCTCCCTCTCTCGTCTTCGGCTACACCTGTGATCGACACCTAGCCCGCCCAAAAAAAACCGCAAGATATATATTGATTTTTTGTGATATTTGTAAGAAAAATCATGCAGTATAACAAAGCGGGTGGCTTGCGAAACAACCGGTAGCCTTTTCGGGTCTGCATGCATGTTATGTCTAAAAAAAAAAGGGGGATATATTGTAGTTTGCGACGGATAGATTCCCCCTCTCTCGTCTTCAGGCTACACTTGCGATCGACGACTAAATAACTCAGAGAGCATCTCTCCCCGCCCACCTTCGGGTTCTTAAACTCGCACAGCGAGCGCTCCTGGTCGCTGATGAAGTAGGGCGACAGGTAACCCCTGTCGATCGTGAGTCCCTCCGTGAACTCGACCTCGTCGCCCAGTGTCTGACTCTCCTCCACCACGGTGGACCCGGTGTCCCCGACCTTGTGTATGGTGGATGGGTACGACGGGCAGGCAGAATATGGCCACGGGAACAACGAATCAACGTTGATCAATCTTAACGAGCTTCAACTGTTACAACGGCCGATGTATCCGCGACAGTCCAAAACCCTTGACAAGTCATTTCAAGTCGCGGGAAACGTGTTGACCATCGTATGGTATGGTATTGAGCTTGCTCAATTCGAGGGCTAAGCTGTTTCACATAGGGTTTGGGGCTCAGTTCTATTGACAGTTCATGATACATGTAGCAAACAATATTGCTCTCTGTCGTGTGCAAGGCAAAAGACATGTCGAGCAGACAAGGTTTTACTGGCGCTTCTCGAGGAACCAACACAAAATGTTGGTGCAAGGAAACGTTGAAATCACAGTGTAAAAAGAGGGAATCGTCCTCGACAGACGTTGGGGACATTGTACCTTTAGAAAGCTGGTCTCCCCATTACCATGCCCCTTTTTCGAGACTTCTTGTATGCTAGGCAAGGCAAGACAAGTCTTCTCGGGGTTACCGCAACCCGACCGGCTGGCGGCGGGGCGATTCACTTTTCTTCAAAATCCTCTGTGCGTAATTACACGGGTTCGCTACGTCCGCCACGTCATCAGAAGTTCCGACACGGGGGGAATACTGTACATACACGCTGTCAATGATGGACCATCTGACACGATTTGCAGTCCTTACACCGATCCCAAACAAATCCGCTGAAACAATAGCGAAGGTGTTAAACAAATGGATAATCAGCATCTTTGGACCACCAGAAATGCTACATTCTAATCAAGGCACCGGATTCGAAAACAAAATCATTCACCAGCTACAAACGATTCTTGGATACAGCAAGTACGACTTAAAAAACAGTAATCCGTCCTATATTGAGTAGTATGACATTGTCGTTGCTGTTCTCTGTCTGGACACCTCCGCAAACGTAGAACGGTCAGTGATCAGCTGGTATTGCCACAAGATCTCACGGGTCTAGAAATGCACGCTTATCATGATCATGGCTTTCGGGTGGGCATCTACCTTTCCGACCGACACACGAAAAAATTAGACAGCAATACTGGTGGCCGTCAATGCCTCGTGATATCCGCAACTGGTGCCAACAATGCCAAGCATGTCAACGCAGGAAAACACCCCACCGCCGTCCGAAACGTCCGAAACTCCCGACGGGTCACGTACCTGCCCAGCGACCGTTTGAACGGATATCGGTTGATCTAGTGCTTGTTCATTTTCAAAAAGGAAAAGACGCGATAACGTGTCGGGTACAACATTTAGCTTCCCCGGTTTATGCTGAACGCCTAAGTCAAAGGATTCCAGTGCAGTTGCCCAGCGTGTAAGCCATGTTTGACGTGTTTTGCATCGTGTAGAGATACGTTAGCGCTGCGTAGTCTGACGCACGTAAAGCGTCGTAAACGCTCTCACAATTACACCTACAGATTACGCCTGAGAGGATATGGTCCTGAGTCAGACTTGATATATCGTGCAGATGAAATCCCACAATGCCGGGAAATGATTTCTGCATATAGATCAGCACACGGTTTAGATCCTGCACCTAAAATCCAACAACCGCCTACACCAACGAAGAATTTGAAACGCAAACGAGACGATGCTCAACCATCATCCAAGCGAATCAAACCCATCAGGTTGGACGTCGTTTAGATTATCTGCTGACACTTGGTAAGGTCTGTTAGGCATGGCCGTTTGGAGCTTCTGATCATCTGGTACGTTGCGGCAAATCGGGTGGCGTAGAGTGCACGTACCCTGGATGTGCGGGGAAGAGCAAAAGGTTCACGCACTCACGGCAGGAATGCAGGACAGAACAACGTGACATGCAGACTGGCCATCTTTTTATAAGGGA